AGATAAGATAAGATAAGACTCCCTTAATCTATCATACTGAAATGATAAGATAAGACTCCCTACTAATCCATACTACTGAACTGATAAGATAAGAACACTGAATAGATAAGACTCMTACTAATCCCTACTACTGAAAGCAGATAAGGTAAGAATACTGAATAGATGAGATAGGATGAGAACACTAAATTGCTACTGCCGAGAASACTAAATTACTGTTGCTGTTGCACTAAATTACTGTTGTTGCTGCCGGCGTCCACATCATTACTCCCCTCCTAGACTACGAACTTGTCCTCAAGCTCGAATTCAGGATGGGTGTCTTGAAACACAATCAAAGGAATTCAGGATAGGTGGAATGATTTTGCCCTCCTAGATCGAGTTCCAATGAAGAGGAGTCATCCTCACCTTCCTCTTGTTTCACCAAGAGGAAGAAAAGTCTCTTGCACTTGTGCCCTGCTTAGTAGAGTTCATCACAATTAAAACACTGTCCCCTCGCCCTGCATTCTGCCATCTCAGCCCTAGACAAGTGCYTAATAGGGGGTGCAACAACACTGCTCCCCACACTGAATGCTGATCTGAAATTGTTGCTTGTCTGTGGTTTCCGTTCTTGGCTGGATGCTGAAGATGGAGCCATTCTGAGTGGTTCCGGGGATGCCCATGCTGATGGAGGCCGCCCTACACTGATACTTCCGCGGTTGAGTTGCAACTTACGTTAAAAAGCGCAAGCCAAATTCAGAGCAGTAACCCGATTGGGGGGATTCTACATCTCCACATCCACCCTCAAAATTTCTGCTAACCCTGCTGTGAACATGTCTACCTGCTAGTCTGGTCGTACCGATCATGCTCTTGCAAGGAGGGTCAGAAAGTGACGCCGATATTCAACCACCGTTCCCGTTTGTTTGAGGTTGATTAGTTCGCCTAATGGGTTGCTTGTTAATGGGGGCCCAAATCTGAGAAGGCAATAGGATTTGAATTGGGTCCAACTGAGCCCAAGTTCCTCCTACTCCAATTTATAAAACCAGAGCTGCGCCTCCTCTGTCATGTGGAATGCGGCTAAGCTTACCTTGTCGCTATCCCCTGTCCGTTGGTTGCGGAAGAACTGCTCACATCTGTACAGCCATCCCAAGGGATCGCCAGCGCCATTATAGGAAGGAAACTCCAGCCYGCTGTATTTGGGAACGATCGYGGCTCCCTGGGCAATGACCAAATTGTTATGGGCCCACGAATAGGATCTCGTCACGGGTTGATGCACACGGAAAACCTTCTGTTTTCCCTTGTTCCTCCCTTTTCTTGAGGGACCTATCTTGGCGCCCTAATGGTGATTNGATAAGATAAGAACACTGAATAGATAAGACTCCTACTAAACCCTACTATTGAAGCAGATAAGGTAAGAATACCGAATATACAAGATAGGATGAGAACACTAAATTGCTTTGCTGAGAACACCAAATTACTGCTGCTGCTATACTAAATTACTACTGCTGCTGCTGGCGTCCACATCATTACTCCCCTCCTGGACTACGAGCTTGTCCTCAAACTCAAATTTAAGATGGGGGGTCTTGAAATATAGTCAAAGGAATCCAGGATAGGTGGAATGATTTTGCCCTCCTGGATCGGGTTCCAATGAAGAGGGGTCATCCTCACCTTCCTCTTGTTCCACCAAGAGGCAGAAAAGTCTCTTGCACTTGTGCCCTACTGAGTAGAGTTCATCACAATTAAAACATTGTCCCCTCGCCCTGCGTTCCGCCATCTCAGCCTTGGACAAGTGCTTAATAGGGGGTGCAACAACGCTGCTCCCCACACTGAATGCTGATATGGAATTGTTGCTCGTTTATGGTTTCCGTTCTTGGTTGGCTACTGAAGATGGAGCCATTCCGAGTGGTTCCGGGAATGCCCATGCTGATAGAGGCCGCCCTACACTGATACTTCCACGGTTGAGTTGCAGCTTGCATTCAAAAGCGCGAGCCAAATTCATAGCAGTAACCAGATTGGGGGGATTCTGCATCTCCACATCCACCCTCAAAGTTTCTGCTAACCCTGCTATGGACATGTCTACCTGCTGGTCTGGTCGTACTGATGATGATCTTGCAAGGAGGGTCTGAAACTGACGCTGATATTCAGCCACCGTTCCTGTCTGTTTGAGGTTGATTAGTTCGCCTAATGGGTTGCTTGTTAATAGGGGCCCAAATNCGGGTTCCTCCTGCTCCAATTTATAAAACCAGAGTTGCGCCTCCTCCGTCATGTGGAATGCGGCTAAGCTTACCTCGTCGCTATCCCTTGTCCGTTGGTTGCGGAAGAATTGCTCACATCTGTACAGCCATCCCAAGGGATCGCCAGCGCCATTATAGGAAGGAAACTCCAGCCTGTTGTATTTGCGAACGATCGCAGCTCCCTGGGCAACGACCAAATTGTTATGGACCCGCGAATAGGATTTGGTCACAGGTCGGTCCACGGGGAAAACCTCCTATTTTCCCTTGTTCCTCCCTTTTCTAGAGGGACCTATCTTGGCTCCCTATTGGTGATTTATTCAAGAGATCACCAACTCTCCTCTGCTCTCTTTCTTGACTGAAAATTTTGATGATTTTATTCAATATTCTTAACTCCTTAAATAGGAGATTACAAGAAATAAGAGTCCTACTTTTAGGAAGACTCCCTACTAATCTATCCTATTGAACTGATAAGATAAGATAAGATAAGATTCCCTTAATCTATCCTACTGAACTGATAAGATAAGATAAGACTCCCTACTAATCCATACTACTGAACTGATAAGATAAGAACACTGAATAGATAAGACTCCTACTAATCCCTACTATTGAAAGCAGATAAGGTAAGAATAYTGAATAGATAAGATAGGATGAGAACACTAAATTGCTACTGCTGAGAACACTAAATTACTGCTGCTGCTGCACTAAATTACTGTTGCTGCTGCCGGCATCCACATCACTGTCCCTTTATGTACATGTTTTGATGGGTTAAGTACAAGATCATGAAACCCATGTCTCAGTGATTTATTGATAAAAAACCATGTCTTAGTGATTCCTGCTTAACAAATCTAGACACGATCTTTTAATTATTTTCTACTAATATGCTTTATTCTGTTTCTTGGAATAAAATCCCAAGAAACTTTAACCATAATCTTTGCACAAACCTTGAATCAGCACCATGGTCAATGTACTTGGTTGTTTTTTGTCCAACTTCTCTGGAAAATGTATCTTATCATGCTGAATTGCTAATTTTTGGTCTCAAAGATCTCATGGGGATCCATGGAGTGATGGTTTCTAATCCACTCTATATACCATTAAATGCTCAAACTTGGAAATTTGAAGCCAACTTGATAGCTATGCTGTGATCTGTTTTTTTTTCCTGCCTCTGGACCCTGAATTTGAATTATTATTTATATCAAGAATTCATGGATCAAGGGAATGCCTTGATTTGGTGAATTCCTAGGGGACAATCTTGAGTTAAAATTTCTATATTACATTCGATCATTTTATTATTACTTGTCTTCTGTTCTCAATTACMCAATATGCAGGTTATCCAACTTGATCTCCACGGGCATTTCCATTCCCTTGGTGCTGGAGTGATAGAAGAAGTCAGGATGCAAAGAGACATGGTTGTTCTTCTTTAATGTTGCAGTGCTCGTGGGGTAGTAAACCCACTCCACCAGAGACAATCTCAACTCCTCTGCCCCCATCTACTGGTGGTCCTTTGCCTATGTCAGGCCTTTCACTAGCTGAGCTTTTGGCCTACGAGAGACAGTTGGCAATGAGCAAGATGGCTGGTGTCSAGGCACTGATGCACCCCCCGGGTCAGCATGCACTCAAGCAGGCAGCTATGGGACAATGAATGATCTATTCTGACTCAAGAAGAATTAAAGTTGGAAGAA